AATTGAGGAGTTCAGAAAGATGGACCATGTAGCCACGCAAGTTCTGTATCTCTTTTATTTTCAATACCTTCTTTATTGATTGGTTAATAATTTCCTCTCAACGTTTTCGAGTATATTTTGACGGTTCACTTGCACATTGTCTGGGCTTAGCAATAAAAGTTTAACAACTTCATTTTTGCTTTACCATATTTTTGCGATTTTCATCGGTAATCTGAATAATGGTTTTCATGAGAAATTCGTTTTATTGTTTGTTGAGCGCGCCGTGGGTTCCCGAACTTTCGTGGGTGAACTGTTGTTTCATGACCTTGTGGCTGCATATTTTGATACCACAGTTAGAACTTTTTACTCCTTCAAACTCGTGCGAGTCTTTTTGATGTACGCATGATGCGGCTATTTTTACTTTTTAGCTAGGCAGTTACTTAAGATTCTTGAATAACTTTAAGAGTATGTATCAGTTGGCTTCATGGAGAAATAGTGCTGTCAATCACGTCTCATAGACCGTTAATGCCCAGCTCTTGCTACGCTCGGGCCACGCTGTTCCTTGAAGTTTTCAGAAACGCTTAGTTATAACGGACGAAAAATCCAAAACACCGATTGGCCGCTTGAGATTTCTTTATTGTTACACCAACATATAAAAATAATAACTGAACTAAGGTCTGTGAACAAATATTACAATAATAAATCATAATATTACTTCTGACGATGTTTTACTCTTCTTTCTGAACAGCGACCGATGAGACGATGACTGTTGTATTGATGCCTCCGCGAAAATTGGGGAAGTTGATTTTGAGCAAACAACCAAGAATTGATCGTTCAGTCTTCAACTCCATTGACAGGTGCTAATGCATTTTTTTGTAGCCATCTATCCCGCTAGACCTGCTGAGGCTGTAGCCTGGCTGTTCTTAACAGTGCCTCAATTAGTGAGATGAGGAAGTAATAAGGGTGTGTTTCTTAGGGGCAGAATGAACATAATTTGTAAGGTTGCACAATCACATCACAGCAAATAACCCTTGCTCTTGTCCATTGGAAATCCATATGTCCGCGGTGTGACTCACTCAGCACGCATAAATAATCTGAAGGAAAATAGCCAAGGTTCAATTGAACTGACAGATTTCTTACTTCGTACAATTTATGAGTACAAGCACGAAAGCGGAGATCTCGCTCTGGATTATATTCTAAGGATGCAAAATCAAAACACAATGCACCCTCAGATCTGGTTATCAGAATACTATATATAGGTCAAATTTCCCAGTTTCAAACGTCAAAACATCACACGAACCCTACTATCCTCTTCTGGATTCATGATTGGACAATGAGGATGCTATATATTTTTCAGTTTTGTCCTTACTAATTTTTTATAACATTTCTTGGAATGTAGGCCGATCACCTCATTACACTTTATCCACGGATCGATAATAATTGAGAATCTCGCTCCTAAGGTTATAAGCTCATCTACTGAAATTTGTTAACCATATTAAACACGTGACCCATGATTGTAGGAACTGAGTGTGTTTCTTGCTGCCGGGTACTTGACTAGTTTGAAAGGGATGGGCTTTTGTAGCTACTCAGTAATCGGCTCAAAGGACGTACGAGTTCTGAGAAACGAAAGCGGAGATGCCAGGCTGTTAGTGGCATGCTTCGGAAGAAATATACATGAACAGAACAAAGTTGAGGAAGTTTAATAGGGGAAATCTATAACTTTTTCGGGTTAGTGGTGGGTGGGGTACGAATTATAAGAATATGTATATACACTACAGTGGATATGCAAAATGACACTGGGACCCGCTTTGATGTGTCATGATTAAGGCAAAGCTCAGGAACCCATAAGCATCATCTGACCAGTTAGCAATATATTTACTTAACATTTTAGTTGTTTCAATATAGAGCACCACGTACTTTTGTTTCATATAGGTATATGATAGTTTCGTCAGCACAATTAAATGCATAAATATCCACTTACAGCAAATATCAGTGGGCTGTGCAATCTCTTTTCCAAGTATTACATAATATTAAGAATGAAATGGGTGCCGAGAATCTACACTATATCAAAATATCGTCTGGAATGAAGCCAATATTAATGCTACCATTTGCTAAACGCCATAAATCCTCTTCTGGTAACTTGATAGGCATAGAGTAAGTAGTTTGTCATCAGCTAAGGAGATCACTCCAGAATTCATGCTGACTGCATAGGTTGTCACTGTCCTAAATGATTCTTTACTGCTAAGTAGTCCAATATTTAAAATCGTTTGACATTTATGAGTTGTTAAGAAAGGTCCTCTTTACTTCATATGACTTGATGCTTATTCACTCTATGCCAAGCAATATACTTGGACTGGAATTTATGACCCTATGTTAGGACCACTGTTGTTTTTGGAAGAAGAGTTAAAGCCCTGCAATTAAATTATATATCTTCCAGTACACACCAACGATTCGTTTTTGGAATGTTGGAAAGAATGTGTTTGTGGGCCATTAATTTCATTTTCTTTTTGGGACACTCCCTCGAAGACTGAAAGGCCTTATCACCCCTTCACATTTCTAATAAAAACATGTAAATTGTTGAGCATATACCTGCACCGCAGCATCAGATTCAGATTCAGGTGATAAAGATAGAAGGCTCTTGTTGCCTATGTTAATCCTCGCGATATATATCTCTGCAGAGATCCAGTTTCTCTTTGAAAGCGTTTACCTACGGAGCTGTTACTACTGAATCAGGTAAGGAGCTCCAGTCGTTGACCACTCTGTGAGAGAATCTAAACTCCAACCGTATTTTATTCGACCTCGGTTTGAGCACCTCCTTCCGGTGACCCCGTAAATGTATCCTAGATGGAGAGAAAAAGGTTTGAAAGGTAAATCCCTAAATCACCCTTGAATATACGGTAGGCCAAAATTAAGTCGCCTCCCCTCCTTCAGTATGATAATGGGAAGAGATTTAAATGCTCCCTCCTCATGTCATAAGGAAGGTGTGAGATACCACTAACTAATTTCGTTCCTACCCTCTGTACTCTTTCCAGTGTATGTGCTTCCTTTTTGAAACATGGACTCGCCGCTTGTATGCAGTACTCTAGATGAGGCCTGACATATTTTGCATGGAGTACTTGGAACATACCCTCGTCTATTCGTTTGAAAGCCCTACGAATTGCCCATAACATTTGAAAAGCCTCAGTTGCGGCTCGATTACAGTTTGCCGTTGTTTTTAAGTCATTATATTATTATTATTGCTCCCTTGGGTTCCTAGTGGAACATAGGGCTTCAACTGCACGTCTCCACTTGCTTCTGTCTTCTGCTGTACTTTTCGCCTGCATCCATGTTAGTCCATATTCTTTCAACTCCTCTTCACACTATCTCTTCCATGTCACCCTTGGACGTCCCACACGCCGCTTCCCTTTCGGGTTCCACTCGAGAGCTTGACGCGCGATGTCACCCAGTGGTCACCTCAGCGAGTGTCCGATCAATCTTTACTTTCTCCTGCATATTTGCTGGGCGATTGGTTCTTGTTTTGTTTGTTCCCATAGTTTCTTGTTGGTGATTCTTTCCGACCCGGTCATCTGATTTTCAGTATAGAGCGAAGACAGTTGTTGTTGATGAAGGTCTGCAACAGGCTGTTGGAAATATTTTTTGTGACCCTCCCGCCAAGTTTCTGATCCGTATAGAGAGAAGAACCGAATGACTAGACGTTTGTATTGAAAATCCGACTGAATTTTGTTGTTGATGCTGAGTGACGAAGATTTTCAGATTGGTTTCAGGTTGATGAATGTGTTTCTCGCCTTTCTGATTCTCGATTTGACATCCTCGTCCGTTCCTCCTGTAGTTGAGACAATGCTCCCTAGATCAGTGAGTGAATGAAGTAACCTCTTTCAAATCTCTCCCGTTGATGGTGATTGGCGTTGGATGTTGTTGGTGTTGTTGTTGATGGTTATTTTCATAACCTCCGTCTTGTCTGTGTTTACCTGGAGTCCTGTCTTTGCTGGCTGCTTCTTCGACCAGTTTGCCGGTTTTCGCTCGTAAGTCTTCGATTTTGTGTGACATCAAACATAAATCATCCGCGCGCGAAATCCAGGTCTTCTAGGTTCTTCACGTTGGTCGGTCCAGGATATCCCTGTCTTCTCGTTTCCCACTCGCAGTCTCACGCATGATCCAGTCCACCACAATTAGGAATATCATTGGTGATAGATAACAAGCACCCTTGTCTGACTCGTGTGTTTACTCCAAACGCCTCCCTGAGTTTTTCGTTGTGGATCACTTGACATGTATGGTTGTCGTACAGCTGTTGAATAAGGTTGATGAATATTTGGGGCACTGTACGCCATAGTACTCGAGTAATTTCCAAATTACTTCACGGTCACTGCTGTCTGTTGAAGGCCTTCTCAAAGTCTATAAAGTTGAGGTAGAGGTTTTGATTGCCATTCCATGCTTTGTTCGATGATGATGCGTAGAGTTGCAATTTGGTCAGTACATGATTTGCCTGACTTTCCTGAATCCAGCTTGTTCCGGTGGGTGGAGGAGCTCTGTCTCCAGTGCGTCCTTTAATCTCTCCAGGATGATGCGACTCAGGATTTTACTTGGCGTCGATAGGAGCATCATTCCTCGCCAGTTCTTGCAGAGTGAGGCGTAAGTCGCCCTTCTTTGGTAGTTTCACGAGGTAACCTTTCCTCCAGTCAGTAGGCACCTTTCCCCACTTCCAGACCTTTTGCAATAATGGAGTGAGTCAGCATGTCTGCTGTTGTCTCTGGGTCTGCTTTCAGTGCTTCAGGGGGTGTTCCCTCTGGTCCGGCTGCTTTTTCAGCTTTCAGAAGCTTGATTGTGTTCAAGACTTCAGCTCTCGTTGGAGGATTGGTGTCAACTTGCATGGCTAACAATAATTTCCAAGTCCTTTTGTTCCCTAACATCTGGCAATTCTGTATCCTCCATGGAGTAAGACGTTAAAGACTTGTGAACTAGGTGCATTAGCGCGCTTTTCTTAGAATTAACTTCCAGACTCCAAAGGTTAGCCCATTCGGGTGATTTCCGCTTACTTCGAAACAAACGAAGAAACTTGAAAAAGAAAGTGAGAAGAAATAACTCAACCCAAGTTAATTATACTGTGATTCACAAACGATACGATTTCTTACTTAATGCAAATGATTGTCTTCTAAATGTTTTAGTTTTCGAGGCGCGGCTTTAGAAGAATTGTGCTACAGTCTACTGACCTCGCGTTTCGGATGGGAGGTAAGATCCACGTTTGTACTCCTGTAATGGCGCGGATATACCTTATTAATCACCAAAAATTTGTGTTTTCATTGTTATGACTAGCTTTTGGTCACGTTTCTCTCCGGTGTCATTTCAGTCCACTTCATAAAATTAATGTAAATATCCCATTCGACCTACGACGATCCTTGATTTGTGCTTTCGCTTCATGTGAAGGACATCGTTATTCATCCTCCATCCCAATACATACGAAAAGCTGTAATCCCAGTTTTTAGTTGTACGACCATCGTAAGGTCTGCTTAACGAAGTGCAACTTAATATAAAGGTAGGACTAGGGTATTATGGTAGGATGAGAATCCATATCAGACATGATCATGAGTAATAAGTAGTGCTTGCAACATCATCCAGTTCTTTGTAATGTGTCACTGTGTCTGTGACATGAAGTCAACCGTAATAATATGGAGCGTTTCTTTCGGCCTGAAATTTGAAAGCAACTGCAGTGTAAAAGTGTGTTTCGACAATCTCAACTTCTAGTCGACTTAAAGGAATAAGTCACTCTTCAACTAAATGAGTTCCGTTCTTGGAAGTTGGTAAAAAAGTAAACTGACACTGAAAACGTCACAGATCTTACACCATGCTTTGATCCAATGGAATTCAACACCAAACGGGTTGTTTGGTAAAAATCTAATTGCAAAACTATTATAAGAGTAGTTTAGAAAAGGTTGAAGCTCGCGGGTATAGGCCAGGTATGTGTTGAGATATGGTTGTCGGAGTGATTGATAAACTGTTGAGTGCAAGTGATTGCATAGCGTTGTGTTCTTTAGTTTATTGTTCCCACACTATATTGTCTCACTTTTAAAGTAGGATGCGGTATAGTGCGATATAATTATTAGGTGGTTTCCATAATATTTTAAGTTATGTATCAACATAATGCAGTTAACATGTCATTTTATAGTCTAGATAACTATTTTCAACATAGTAGATTCCCTTACCTTCTCAGAGCACTGTACTAGACAATTACTGTTTACATTGTCTTATTTTCCTGTAGTATTTGTGCTCGCAGTGTTTAGCTGACTAAATTAACGTAAAATAGCTCAAAAGTTCATTAATCCAATTCGTCACACTTTGGAAAGGCATTAGACAAACGGGAATTCGCTGATTATCTTAACCTTTCATTTGTCTGTACCTGCTTGTTAACGTTCCTGGTACTTCTGGCATGATGGGAGTTCAGGAACGTTCTTTCCAACTAGTGTTCATGGGGTCACTGCTACCTGCAAGTCTGATCACCAAGTCAGGGTAGCAACTATTGGTCTGGAGGTAGCTCACTAAGTGCCGTGTCTTCTGAACACCTTGAGCGGAAATCTCTGTATGTTTGGCACGACATTCGCCCGTCAAATGTGATATGCTCTTGCTGTACTGGTCCGCATCGACCCCTTGTATGAAGATGAGGAGAGCAGCTGTAGAGGATAGATACTGCATTCAAGGTTCCACGAGATGACCTCGAGGGAATGGACCAGGTCGTTAACGTTTCACAATGGATTCATGAAAACTGGTACATGTCAATTAACAGAATCTATGAGAAACTGTCCTTTGCAGCAAAAATGCATTCCAGTTTCTCAAAGTTACTGTTGTTTGACATACACCAATTTTCGTAAACTCTGTGAAATGTTAACGATCTGATTGGTTGGTGCCGTTGAACCTTGAGTGTGTTATCTATTCTTAATAGTTGCTGACTGAGTTTCAGGGGTCATGTCTCACAGCCGTGAAGGAGTAGACGAACATCTTTAAATCAATGGTCAGGTTTCTGATCTACTCCAGGGATAACGTCATTTTGCAAATGTTGCACGAGTTTTTTGTATCCATGCTAAAATTTCATCACCTATCAGTCTATTAAGGCTCGTGCAAATTCTTAAATAAGTGAAGTGGTCAACGCGCTCAACCACTTCACGGTAATCTTTATAGTTGCTAGTCAGTCATCCATGGTATCATGATACATTTTTTGACTGAACCGTAGAATATTCGATTGTTGGTAATTACAGACCCAGTACGTTTTAATCTGCTTTAGCTGACATGTTCTCAAGAATGATGTGTATAGGTATTTATGGAAGAGAATCGGTTTAGCATCATCCTACTTTTGCCTTCGTAATGGAGTAGTGGAGAAATTTGAACATGATTACCGTATTGTTGGTATTAGATGGCTGGAGGCAATCGTCAGGAAGCCCTACTCGGACCTAGGTTTCGTGCTGGTTGGCACTCGTTGAAGAAACTCATATCACTTTTGAGATTTGAACCCGCGTCACCCAGTGAGCTCTGACGTCAGAGACGTTACAGCCGATCTGTTCAGGCTCTCGATCGACCTACTGTAGGACTGTATTGGATATTTTTGACCGGACGCTAGTCAGTAACTAGTGTAATGTGTCTAGTCCTATCTTCGGTACAGACTGAATTCTACCCGTCAAGCTTGCAATGTGGCCACCATGCTGGGTAGCCTCTAGGTGCTGACTAGTGTCCAATCAAAAGTATCCAATACAGTCCTACGGGAGGTCAATCACGAGCCTGAATAACTCAGTGGAAACGTCTTTGACCTCAGAGCTCACCGCGTGACGCGAGTTCAAATCCCAGAAGGGATATGAGTTTCTTGAAGGTTACAGATACGCCTTGCTGACGAGTGCCAACCAGCACGAAATCTAGGTCCGAGTAGGGCTTCCTGACGATTGCCTCCAAACATCGAATACCAACAGTTCACAGTGCACCGTGATGGCGAGCCACCTAGCATGGTGGCCACATTGCAAGCTTGACTGATAGAATTCAGTCTGTACCGAAGATAGGACTAGACACATTACACTAGTTCGCACTAGTGTCCAATCAAAAATGATTACCGTATTTCAGTGTCTATTTTGCAAGTAGCACTTAGTTTCACTGTAAGGACTTAGTTATGAGTTGGTGCTAGCATATTCCTTCCTGTACTAGCTCCTATGAAGCCAGTTACGTCTTGTGTAGACTTAGTCACGTTTATCTTCTCATTTCTGAACACCACCCTACTCGGTTAAGCAAGGGACATACAAAGTTTATTCATAACTCTGTATTAGTACACTTTGTAGATACTGATCATGAAGTTGATGCATTGAAAAGTTGAGGCTTAGATTATTATGCTTGACCTCTAAAATGTACTACAGTTTTTCGTATAGCCCATTTTCTAACGTTTTCGCTATGTGCTGAAAGTGAATGAGTTGTAGTCAGAGTGTCCTCCGAACTTTTGGGAAGTGTTTCGCGTGTTATCCAAATCATCGTCTTCAAATTAATTTCAAGTCAGTGGGTGATATCATTGGAACTGATACCATATTGAATACCAATGTGGAGGAGATTCCTACCAAAGCATAGTGAGCCACAAACACTCCACATCACATAAAATAGAAAAAGCAATTAATTGAGTCTCAATTTCAATAATTAAATACTGCTAACACCAACCAGTATCATCAACTAATCCTGTATGGATGATCTTTTGTCAATCAAACAGTGGGTTTTCAAGGAAAATACGCAGCTATACCTTGTAGATAATTTGATCCTACGTGTTTACATTTAGCCGAAGTGTCTAAGCAGAATTAAGGTGGTATAGGAAGAGCTGTCATTTCGAATACATCGACCCCAAACGACTGAAGTTCTTCAGTATTCATGTCACTTGAATTTGTTTAGCTATTACGACATGTATTTTGATTGGACACCAGTAACTAGTGTGACGTGTTTAGTCCATTCTTTGGTGCAGATAGAAATCTATCATTCAGGTTTGCAATGTGGCCATCATTCTAGGTAGCTCGCCACCACGGTGCACATTTATTTGATATTAGATAGTTGGAGGGATGACGGGCTACCTAGAATGGTGGCCACATTGCAAACCTGAGTGATAGAGTTCAGTTTGCACCGAAGAAAGGACTAAACACGTCACACTAGTTACCAGTGTCCAATCAGAATACCCACTACAGTCCTACAGGAGCCTGAATAACTCGGTGATAACGTCTCTGACTGCAGAACTCACTGGGTGACGCGGGTTTTAATCTCAGAAAGGACATGAGTTCCTTCAAGGCAGTTACAGATACGCCCTCCTGACGAGTGCCAACCAGCACGAAACGTAGGTCCAAGCATGGCTTCCTACCGATTGCCTCCAACTATCTAATATTACGACATGTCGATGTCAGTAGTTTACAAATATATTACCGTTGTGAAATAATTCTATTGTAATGGTTTATCTTGAATATAAATGTTTAATTAAGTTGTTTCTGATAAGAAAAATATCTGGAAAATTATTGCAAAAGTTAGTGGAACCCTTTTGTGATTTATTCTGGTAAATATACTTGCCTTTTTTATTTGAACTGTAAAAGAATACGCATCACTATTAAAACAAAGGTGCGAAGTTCACCGTGAAGACTATTTTCGTACTGTGGCACACGGAAAAAGCACTCAGAAATGACATCCATCAAAAATTTGAGTTTTAGTGCTGGAAATATTCAATAAAGTTTGATACCAGTCTTCATATTTCTCGATTTTAAAGGATCGACTGTCTTTCAAATTCATGATGATGATTCAGCTAATTTTACTTCATGGTTTCCATTTGTGTGTTTTTTAATTTTCCTCTCCTATACCTGGCAACATAAAGCTTCTGGAATCGATTTTTGTTCCACGTAGTATTGTTAACTACATTCCGTGTTTCTTTATTGAAGTATATATGCCTGTAGCTTAACACGAGGACATCACATAAAATAGGTATGTCTAAAGAAGTATGAATGCTTTAGTTTCCAACTAGAAACACGCCAAATTCTCACGGAATGGTTTAGTACATTCTTTTATTCACCGTGTTTAATACAACTGCAGTTCTGGGTTACTCCACTACATTATGAAGTTCAAGTTGAACACCCTGAGTAGCAATCTTCGAATGTTTCGCATGCGGTTCACTGCCGTCAAATGTAAGATGATGCTGCATGACTGGACTACATAGGGAGTGAAGTGGTTAGTGGAGGGTGTTGCATCAGCCACCACCAGTTGGTGGATCGCTGACGAAATCTCAGCACGGATACATAAGACTCGTATTATAGCACATGTAAACTTACTCCATCTCTGGCTTAGTAGACGTGACATCTGGTTGGTTGTCGACTAGAAGGCATATGTACAGCTCAGCAGTTCTTTCTATCCTCTTTTATGGCTGGCTGTGAATGAGACACGGCCATTGAAAGTGGAAGATATGAAAAGGCTAGCTATCTTTGATCATAGGTGTCTGCGTTCTATCTCCCGTGTCAAATGGCATAATAAAGTGAGCAACATTGAGCTTAGACTTCGAGTGCTAGGTAGGTGGAAAGGGAAATTAATCGACTAGGTTGTGAAGCAGCTGCATCGATTGAGGTGGTTAGGACATGTATTGCGCAGATCTAGCCATAGCCTTTCTCGACGGGCAGTGTTAGGTGACTGACAGGATGGATTTGGTTGGAAAACACCTAGTGGTGGTGGTCAAACGAAAAGATGGCTTCATCAGTCGATTAAATCCACAACAGATTAAACTAGCCACGTAGACTGCTGTCTGCTTTGGGTCCTCAGAATGGTAAAAACCAGTGGCTTGAGATAATCGGTGATTTGGCGCACATGCATCCACTCCTTGGGATTTATCATATCGAATAAAGCTTTATTGTTCTTCCATATTACTATTCTTCTTGCTTCACACTTGTGTTTATTATCTCACTTTTGAATCTCTTCTCACTTTGTATCGTACATGGATAGAGTGTGGCAACTCGAACTGTTGCACATCCGTGCAAAGTTCTATGTTGAAACCAGTCAGTCAGTCAGTCAGTCAGTCAGTCAGTCAGTCAGTCAGTCAGTCAGTCAGTCAGTCAGTCAGTCAGTCAGTCAGTCAGTCAGTCAGTCAGTCATTCAGTCAGTCAGTCATTCAGTCAGTCAGTCAGTCAAGTCAGAGGCTTTAAAGCGAACTGTTCTATGCGTTGCTGTACATATTCAGTTTTTTTTAAAATTTCTTGTGTACTCTTAAGTTTTACATTTATTTTAAGCCAAATAAGAATAACCGCCCCTCCCCAATCAATATTTCTAAATCCTTATGTATTCTTTCTTTTCAATGCAGTAAATTTAGAAGGTTGGTATTTCAACCAAATCAAGGGGACGTGTGAAGATGTAAACGAAGGTAGGATATACGGTATTTCTCATTCATAACGAATATTTTTAGCTGATATAATATCGTGTGTTGAATATGACAAAACTGGAGACCTCTTAGCAACTGGTGATCATGGTGGTCGGATTGTAATCTTCAAACGTGAAAATGAGGTTAGTTAAGCATTATAACAAATAATGTATGTGAAATGACGTTTCCTAATGTCTTCTAATGCTTAGTCTTACATAACAGTCTAACAAACCTCTTTTTTTACTATTGAAACACAGTAGGTTCTAATTTTGTCAGTTAGCATTATTATATTTTATTTTTTATTTTTGATTACAACTTGATTCCCAACAGTATTTTTGGTACAAGTATGGAATTTTCAGCATGGATATCGGTAGCCCAAATTTTGCAGGCCGACCATAGATATCAGGTGTGCGTCGGCAGGGGATCGAACCTCGGACCATGTGCATGGTGGGCGAGAGTCCTAACCACTGTGCCACCGACGCAGACACTTAGAACGACTGTATTGGCACTGCTTTTTCATTCCTCTCAAACATAACGCGCCTAGTCAGTTTACCAATAGCTGTCTCGGATGGGAATAGTTGACTTCTTTTTGTAGTAGTGTGATGTCATCCATAAAGGAGTTCATGGTTGACATTGATTGACGAGGAACAAGTGTCAGGATGAACTTCAGGGAAAGGACATCCCCCGCTCCCTGTCAGTCTTAGGCAATTTAACCGTAGGGACTTTCTTAGCAGATTTATCAGGATACTTCTTCAGGTATTATTCCACAGTATATGAACGCATACCTTACACGCCTCTACGAAGTTTATAAAGTATACTGACTGCTAACTTTAAATGGCTATTTCGCCAGTCAAGTAGTAGGACATGTCGGGCATTTTTTTAAAAAGTTGATCCAGGTCAGAAATATGATTTTGTACAAAACGGATTTGGAAATGAATTCCACAGGACAGGTTTCTTTGTATATGGGATGCGTCAGCCAAGTGTACCTATATCCATATTTAGTGAGTGAGTGAGAGGTGTGGTTGTTCGGCAGAGATTCCAGTCTAGCCTGCACTAATCTCAAACACCATAGTACTGTTCAGTAGGCCACACTGGGTGACGAGATCCACCACGTCACGTCGGGCCTCTTCAAATCCCTCTGCAAACCATACCCACGAAAACAAATAACACAATGACAAAAATGAAACAAAATGAGAACAAACACGAGACAAAAGCTACAACTATACTAACTATATATTTATATTATTGAGTATTTGTAGTGTATTAAAAGTTCAAATATTATTATTTCTGTTCATAGAAATAGCAATTTACTCAAACAGTAGTGAATAGGATCGATTTTGAACAGATGTTTTCAGATTAGTCATCAATAAGCCTCGTAAATTATTAGTTTTTTGGGCGATTTACGATAAACACCAGAGTGGTTTTCATCCTCAACAAATTATTTTGATACACAAGATTCAGTTATTCGTGAGCAGTTTGAAACTTTCCCGCCTTCGCTGCTGACGGTTTTTGTTTTAGTGTGCAACAATTTACCCTAATTCATGTGCAGTCAATTTACAACATGTAAAATTCGGTTCGTATATGCCAGTTTACACTGTCTCAGGCTCAGCAGACGTGATATCCTACCGGCTGTCGACCAAAGTAAGTATGCACTGCTCAGAAGTCCACTCCGTCCTCCTTCATGGCTATGAGTCATGGCCACTGAGAGTGAAAGAAATGAAAAGGCTAGCCGTCTTTGAGCATAGGCACCTGCGTTCTATCTCCCGTGTGAAGTAGTGGTATAATAGGGTGAGCAATATTAAGGTTACGCGTCGAGTGCTAGGTAGGTTGGAGGGGAAATCAATCGACAAGGTTGTGAAGCAGCTGTATCGATTGAGATAGTTAGGACCTGTGTTACGTATGTCTAGACTAGTCATCACCTTCCTCGACAGGCAATGTTAGCTGGCTAACATGGGATCAGATTGGAAAAGAGCCAGTGGCGGTCAAACCAAAACATGGCTTCATCAGTCAACAACAGTTGTTTTAAAGCCAGTCAATTTGGAAGGTGTAAACTTCGTGGTTGGAGTCCTCGGGACAGTAAAAAATCAATGAGGGCTGGAGACACTTCGTGATATAGCTCAAAATCGTTCTCAATTGTTGGCGCAGATGCATCCACTCCTTGTTACTTATAATACCCAATAAAACTATATGGTTCTTCATTATTACTGTTCTTTTTGCCTCATATTTCTATTTACTGTCACTATCTTGCATTTCTTTTTTACTTTCTCCTCTCGCTTTGTGTGCTACATAGAGTGTGGTGACTCGAACTGCTGGACATCTGTGAGAAGTTCTATGTTGAAACCAGTCAGTCAGTCAAAATTCGTTTCACCCAGACCTTATATATTATCTTTCATTAACATTAACGCATATCGTAGATATTCACTGTCCTTTTTTTAAAAAAAAAATTTAATTTAAAGGGAAAACTTCAGAAATGTATTAGTCACAATGTATACTGTACATTTGTCAGTCATGAACCAGAGTTCGACTATCTCAAATCATTAGAAATTGAAGAGAAAATCAATAAAATTCGATGGCTACCACGCAGCAATCATGCTCGATTTCTACTCTCTACAAATGGTCAGTCCTTATTTTATTGCATTATTCCTTTTGATTTTTCATGTAACCATGGATTTTCATTCAATTGAAAAAAAATTAGGCGGTTTTATTTATTTTTGTTGCCAAAAAAACTTGATAATGTTCATTCTGTGTGTTTGGTGTTTATGATGAGTGTATGTGCACTTGAATTTTATCCGAGTGACTTTTGAGTTCGAATCTCTCTCTCTCCATGCCTACTTCATCCTGGATGACTGTACAATATCACTGGCCTTCAAATCATACGTGTATCCCATAGTTTGATGTATGAAAAAATCAATAAATATACTGCTTTCCTAGAGTAATGTCATTAGGATGAAATTGTTAGTAATGACCCTTCTGAACAAATAGGCAAGCTTTTCGAGTTGGGCCACGAGTTGACATCAGTTAGAGAACCGTTTAAAACCACCACTGGAGTACTGGAGAGCTGTTTCACATTCTAGTTTGGGACTCATCATCAGTACGCACCCGCTGCCATAGTTCAAACCGAGAACCTTCCGATTACAAGGCGAACTCGTATGCCATTCTGCCTCCATTGAGACCCGATTTAATGGCCCAGTGGCTCAACGGTCTACGAGCTTGCCTTGTAACCAAAAGGTCCTGGGTTGGAACCTTGTCGGTGGGTGCATACTGGTGAAGAGTCCCAAACTAAGACGAAACAGCTGTCCAGTACTCACAGGTAGTTTTCCAGTGGTTCTCTAACTGATGTCAGCTCATGATGAAATCCTCCATGTTATCAAGACTCTCCAAATCATTCAGACATATAGAGAGAAGTATGCTAATGACATTAACTAGGGATCTCAACTTTTATATAAACATTCTTCGTGGTGTTTCCTACCTCTGAATTTTCATTTAGTAGAATTTAATAGGCTGTCGTTTTACGTTTAACACTTTAGCGTGTTGTCTAACTCTCACTTTGTCAGTATTATTTTTATATTTGTACTTATTATTATTCCCTTGGGTTCCGAGTGGAACATAAGGTTTCTAACAACTTGGTTCTGTTTGGTGCTTTCTTCTTCAACTGGGCCCACGATTATCCATAGTCTCTCATATCCTCCTCCCCAAACGATCTCCTCCATGTCACCCTTGCACCTACGACCTAGTCGTCACTAGAGCGTTAACCTGGCGTCGATGTCATTCGACGGCCTCCTCAACACATGCCCTGCCCATCTCCATTTTCTCCTTTATATTTGTTGAGCACTAGGCTCTTGGTTGGTTTGTCCTACTGCAGAGTTTCTTGTTGCTAGTTGTTTCTTGCCATTCGAACTTAGTAAACTACATTTATTCACTACACATGGTCAAATCGCTTCGATCACGATGCAGGCAGACATGCCACCAGCTAAAACTAGCTCTCTAATGGATTTTACTGCCGAGTTAGTTAACTGTAAGACAGAAATCTAAACTAAAAGTTTTTTTTTATCGTATTAGTCACATTTAATTGTTACCTTTACTTCTTTATTTTTACAGACAAAACAATAAAACTCTGGCGTATTACTGAACGCTGTCGACGTGTTGCTTCTTCGGCTGGTTGTAATATATCCTCAGACTATTCAATGCACAGTAATAATAATAATAATACTAACAACAACAATAATGCCATTGATAGTGAAAATGGTGAAGATAGTTTATCGTCAAAAAAGCCAATATCAAATCGAATCTATTGTAAAGATGATCTACGTGTACCATACTATGAAGATATTGAACCTGTTATGGATGCTCAACCTAAACGCGTATTCGCTAATGCACACGCCTACCTGATCAACTCCTTATCAGTGAATTCTGATCAAGAAACATTTTTATCAGCAGATGATTTAAGAATCAATCTGTGGAATTTAGAAATTACTGATCAATCATTCAGTATCCTTTTCTGATTGTGTTAAGAATTTTATTTATGTTTATGCGTATACAATTTAAGCGTTAGTATATTGTAGATATCATATCGTAGTGTGCATGCCTTAAAATAAGCAACTATTATTCTGGTTTGTGCCAAAAAGGCGCGTCGGTGGTTCAGAGGGGGGGTCGATCTTCGGCCGATAAACTCCTTTACCTCGCTAAGCCGGTAGTAAGGGCCGGTAAAGAGGCAAGGTTGGGCTTGAGGCTAGCAACCCCATCCCGTTAAAATAAAACCAATGCTACTGAAACGTCAAAGCTCTAGCTTGAAGGCGCGCTATGTTCCACTCGGAACGTACAGAAGTAAAAAAAGCATGTTTTGAAAGGCGAGCTGACTTTCGTTGCTTTAAGATAAGCAACTATTATTCTGAAATGCGTTACGGTCTATACAGACTCCAAGAGCTGAATGAGTTTATTGAAACTATCCGTCTGTGTAGTTTTTTTTCTTCATTTCTATTCGGTGTTACTACTGTGTGCAAAGTAACCGCTTTTTATCGATCCCTGGTTATCTTTCGTGTTTCTGTTGTTTTATATGTCCTTGTTTGCCTGTACAACGCAAAACCAGGAGAAGAATACGCGCATACTCATAACACACGAACTTTAAAAGTGAAAATGATAAAATAAACCAACTAATTAAGTTATAATGTGTACTAGAGATACCTCTCTGTCGTCTGATCTATGTGTGACCGATAGTTAAAGACATTGTCAACTTCTGTCTGGTCACTCTGATCTTTTTTCTAGCCTAATAACAACTATCGAGGAATAAATTCGAGATGGCGTGATATATGTGTGTATACAGCATAGGGCTTAACGAGATATTTTTCAATGTACGCTTTCTTGTTTGTTGGTATTTTGTCGGCAAAGTTCAACAATGGCGTCCCAGAAAGTGCGAATGCTCCAATGACCTTGAACGCATGCTAGTCGTTGCCTAAAGGCATCTACCTACTATTATTCTAGCGCAAAAATGAACGCTGTTCATGAACTCAGATGCAAATTTCACCTAGATCACGTCTTTAAGCACTGTTTGGATAATGTGTTAATAGCTCGTTAGGATTAGGGATAAGGTAAGTATTGGGGTTAGGGTTAGGATCAGGGTCATATTTAGGATTGGAGTTAGGATTACTGTTTGGATTAGAGTCAGGATTAAGGATAGGATTATGATTAGGGATAGATTTAGAGTTGATGTCGTTTATTTTAATTTGTTTTACTATCCACATTTTCATACTGGAAACTATAGTAATTCAACCGAGGGCTTTGGGGGGAAGACTTCAAAACAGGATAATAACGATAAACGGGTCACAAAATATGCTCATCACCTTGAGACACCTAGGTGAATACATGTACAGAAACTGGTCTGACGTAAAAACTGACACTTATCACAATTGGGACGTATTTTTAAGTCATGTCAGACAAAGGCACCCTGTTGAATGTGTTTTCATGCATTTTCATGTAAATAAACGTCACTTTTTGTGCAAAATTCTCCATTTTTATCATTGGTTGGCTCAAGGTCACTGGTGCATTCGGATCCTTTGGGGCGCTATTGTTGAACTTTACCATTTTGTCTACACACTTTAGTAGCTTCATCAATACAACATTTTTTACGTGTTAATAATAATAACAACACAATTCAATTGACAAAACAATTACCTTAACTCGAGTACACTTTATCACATTAAAGATATTGTTGATTTGAAACCGGTGAATATGGAAGATTTATCAGAAGTGATAACAGCTGCTCAATTTCATCCATCCGCATGTTCCTTATTCATTTATAGCAGTAGTAAGGGTACAATCCGCCTCTGTGATATGCGTCAGCGGGCTTTGTGTGATGAACACGCATTATGTAAGTGATTACTTTCCACCCCCTCTTTTTTCAGGATTATTTTGTTTTCAACGTTACTTTTTATTAGAGGTTAGTTGGTGGGTGACGACTAGCAGTGGAATCCAGGATAGCGCGAATTTCGTTCTATTTGGGACTCGTCATCCGGGTGTACCTGGATTCCTCAGTGAGTGATGATGTTCCCACCGAGGCTCGAACCCAGTGCCTATAGTTTCAAACGCCAACCAAAGCGTTATCCACAAGACCACTTGGGCCACGAGAGCCACTGCCTCTTGTGCAACGGGTCATATTAATTATTTAATTGAATTTTTAAATTTTCCCGTCGAGCACTTCAGTCCAATCAATTGGCTGGAAAATCTAAACATTAAATTAAATAGTTACTGTTGATTGTTTGATTTGAGTACAACTCATTGTTCATACTTCATGGAGCGAGTTGAAGACGATAAATCCTGTACACTTGTGATTAGTTATAGAGATAGTTTACTGTTGTCATTAGTTAAATGCCGTTTTGAAGAGAAAAAAAAGCATTACTCACACACTGATTTTTACTTCATTAATCATCGTATAACCTGCTTTACGCTTAATCATCTGACATCAGTTTTGTCTAGGACTTTTAGTTCATTTGTGGCAATGCACAGTTCTACAGCATGGTAGACACTTGTTGATGGAACCGTTCTGTCTATAATTCTGTCCTGTACAACTAACACCGAAAGGAATATAAATCTTTATTATTATTCCCCTCGGTACATAGAGCTTCTACAGGACATCTTTATTTTGTCCCTTAACTCCCCTTTAGCTGGCCCCACAATTGTCCATAGGCTCTCATCTCCTCTTCACACGACCTCTCCCATGTCACCCTCAAACCAACTCACAACTTACCGTTTCTCATTCGAATTCTACTCGAACAATGGCCTGACGCGCGATGTCACCCAGTGGCCTTCTGAGTGTGTTCGATCTGTGTGTTTTCTTCAGGATATCTGTTGAGCAATAGATTATTGAACCGTCGGTTCCCAGAGTTCCTTTTCGGTAGTTCTTCCTTGTAAGCCATTTGATCTTCAGTATAGAGCCAGCAAAGGCAGCTGTTGATTAAGGTGTGCGATAGCCTGTTGGAAGAGATTTTTGTGGTACGTTCACCAAGTTTCTGACTTATATGCAAGAAGTGATTTGACATTGGCGTTTAAAACGCAATTTTTTTGTTTATGCTGACGATATGCAGAAGATCTTCAAATTGATTTCAGAATGATGAAGGTCTACGCTGCCTTTCCGATCCTGATTAGCTTTGACATCCTCTTCCATTCTGGTCGTAGTTGATACGATGCTTCCTAGATAAGTGAAGGAAGTGACCTCTTTGTAATCTCTCCCATCGACAATGATTGGTGCTTGTTGTTGTTGGTTTGATACCTTCATCACCTCCGTCTTCTCTGTGTTCACTTGAAGTTCTGTCTTCACTGCTTCTTCTGCCATTTCGGTGGTTTTTTCCAGTGACTGACTGACTGACTGACTGACTGAGTGGTTTCAACATAGAACTTACACAGATGTCCAGCAGTTCGAGTCGCCACACTCCCTTCATGTAGCACACAAAGCTAGAGGAGAAAGTAAAAAGAAATGCAAAATAGAGACAGTAAATAGAAATATGAAACAAAAAGAATAGTAATATGGAAGGACCATATAGTTCTATTGGGTATTATGAGTCACCAGGAATGGATTCATCTGCGCTAGCCATTGAGAACGATTTTGAGCCATATCACCAATTGTCTGCAGCCTTCATTGGTTTTTATCATCCCGAGGAACCCAACCAGGAAGTCTACACTATCCTACGTGGATTAAACTAACTGTTGAAGATTTCAATGGCTGAGGAAGCCATGCTTTGGTTTGACCACCACTGGCTAACTCCTTTCCAACCTTATCGTATGTCAGCTAACATTGGCCGTCGAGGAAGGCGATAGCTAGTCTAGGCATACGTAACACATGTCTTAACCATCTCAACCGATATAACTTCACAGCCTCATCTATTGATTTCCCTCCTTACTTAGCACTCGACGCCTAACCTCAATACTGCTCACCCTATTATACCACTGCACATGGATGATAGAACACCGGCACATATGATCAAAGTAAGTCTTCAATTCTGTGTTACATTACACATAAATCATCCGCGAAATCTAGATATCTTAGAGTTTTCTTATCAATCCAGTGTACTCCTATCTTCTCGTTCCCCACAGCCTGTTGCACAACCCAGTCCACAAGAATTAAGAATGCCATTGGTGATAGTATTGGGCAGCCTTTGTCTTACATCTTAACAAACAGCATACCTTTCAATAAATGTCAATAAACAAGGAATATCTGCATGCACATTCTCTACTGTTCTTCTTGATTCAATTTAATCCTTTTTTTATTGCCTATTCTTGTTTTATGTGTAGCATTTGAGGAAGCTGATGATCCAATGAGTCGGTGTTTCTTCTCCGAAATTATCAATAATATATCCGATTTGAATTTTAGTCATTCTGGCAGATATATATTAAGCCGTGATTATTTAACCTTGAAAGGTAATGATATATATATATATATATATATATATATATATATATGAGATTTATTTGCTGATCAATATTTCTAGTCAGGTTTTTCATGGCTATTATTATAAGTAAGCTACAATTGGCCTATTAATTTCAAGCAAATAAGCTTATTTGCTTGACCGTTATATTATGCGCGATGGTCATTCATAGTATTTGTTGATAACGAGCATTTCATGTATCACAAAACGATCGATGGTTTACGATATCGTGTCATAATCAAATTATCGTCTATTATTATTATTATTATCATCATATTCTAATCCTTTGGGTTGCCAGGGGAATATAGGGGATTCAAGTTTGAGCTTTGAAATTTCAATAGCAGTGGTTCTATCATAACACACCAGAGGACAGGGCTGCTAACCTCACCCACCCACTCACTCTTCCTTGTTTGTCTGACTTGTAGCCGGTTAAGAGAGATAAATGTATGCGTCTGATAGGGGGATCGAACCCTAGGCCATGTGTAGCTTAGTTGGCAAGCGTTCTACTGCTGACCCATCGACTCAGATAGTCAAATTCAACCATCTGAGAGAGAGAGAGAGATGGCAGGGCTGCCATATCCCCAGATAAATGCAATATCTAACTAAAAAGCATAGATCCATGCTTTTACATTAGCGTTGGAGAGTCGTCAGCAAATATCACATTTCCAGCTGTTTTCTCATTGATCTTCTGAAGTAAACAAGTAGCACTGCTTTTGCATGAATGCAATTTTTACTTTGACTATCATTTCATTTCAACTATCGGCCTAGGTGTTTCAGGGATCCAACTTCTCCCAGAAGTAAGATTTTATCATAACATTCATAAATATTCCTTGTTACTTGATGATATAGATTTATTGTGTAACTAGCTAACTAACAAATTTGAAAATTGTCAATTTATATAACCTTACGTTGGCTGACTGCCTGAACTGTTCTCTAAGGTGGTCATCATTTTGAAAAATCTGTGGGGATTAATATTACTTATTTGTTATATCTTATTTTTGAAGTGATGATGTGTTTGTGAGAGCGTTTTGATTTCTCTGTGCGTGTCTGTGTGTGTAATTCATTCCTATAAGGATAAGACTTGAGCACTGTGTGGTAGAGTATAATTCCATTTGTCTACTCAGCTTTAAAGTATTCGTTTGCAGTGATTTGATTTGATTGATTGGAGGATCCTATCATGAGCTGACATCAGTTAGAGGACCATTGGAAAACCAGCTGGAATTACTGCTCGACAGCTGTCTCTCCCTAGTTTGGGACTCTTCACCGGTATGCACCCACCGGTGTTTGGAACCTACAACCTACTGGTTACAAGACGACCTCGTAGACGACTCGGACACCGAGACCGGGTCCATTGGCCGGCCCATTAATTCCAAATTCTCCCAATTCACGATTTAGCGCGACTGGCATTAACCGGTGTCATCCTTGGTGAGTATTTGTTCTTACACCCGACCTGTAGTTACTTGGGTCCTACTGTACTGCTGAAGAGTCCCAAACTAATCAGACGAAACGACTGTCTATCAGTACTTCCAGGTGGTTTTCCAATGGTTCTCTAACTGATGTCAGCTCATGATTAAATCCTCCAACTAATCAATTTTACTCATGTATATAAACGAAGCAAGAAAGTTGTGCAAATACCTTGATATGATTAAGAGCAGTAATAAATTGTTCTCGAGACGTCATCAGTAAATATTACTTACTGTATAACACTGAGTGATTTTATCAAAATAAATTTCATCTCATAATAAAATTGTAATTCATTCCTATTCTCTCTTATAAACGTTATTTTTTTCTATTTCCCCAAAATAAATATTTAGTTTGGGATTTGAATATGCCGCGTCAACCGGTTGAAACGTATCTAGTTCACGATTATTTCCGTACAAAACTTTGCGCACTATATGAAAATGATTGCATATTTGATAAGTTTGAATGTCAATGGTCACCGAATGATGAGTAAGTGTATTTAATTTAACTATTTTTGAAGGTTGCTCCACTATGCATATATATATATATACGTTTGTTGATATTTTCTTGTGAACAGAACTGTACGAAAGTTTCTGTTGTATTATTACTGTCACTGAAAGTATTGAATGTGTATGCTCTTATTCTCTCCACCGTGTGTCGGTGGCACAGTGGTGGAATGCTCGCTAATCACGCAAGTGGTTCGGAGTTCGATCCCCGGCCGACGCACTCCTTTACCTCAATAAGCCGAGTACTAAGACTGGCAAAGAGGAAAGGTTGGTCATGAGACTAGCAACCCCATTCTGTAAAATTAACACCACTGCTATGAAAACTTCAAGGTCCTAGCTTGAAGGCGCCCTATGTTCCACTGGTAACGCAAAAAGAATAAAAAATGGCAAAGTTCATTTTTATTATTAAAGTTCAACAATAGCGTCCTTAGGGATGCGAACACATCAGTGACCTTGAGCTGACCAGTCATACAAATGAGGAATTTTTGCACAGAAAATGACGCTTATTTACATGAAAAGACATTAAACAGAGTATCTTCCTATGAATTGACTTAAAAATACGTCCCAGTTATAATGAGGAGTATCAGTTGCGAAGTTAGACGAGTTTCTGTACATGTATTGACCAAATTGAATTTTTGTGAACCTGTTTTGCAGACTACCCTAAAAGACCTCGGTTGAATTACTATAGTGTCCAGTAATAGGATCTATGACCACTTACTAGGAAAATGTGGATAATAAAACCAAAATAATAATAAATGACATCAACTCTAATTCTATCCCTTATCGTAACCCTAACCTTAATCCTGATCTTAACCCTAATATCTGATATATGACCCTGATCCTAACCCTAACCCCAATACTTCCTTAACCCCTAGGCCTAGCAAGCACATTGTCGAAGAAGTACTTAAAAACTTGATCGGGGTGAAATTTGCCACTTAGTTGAATAGCGTTAACATTTCAGCTGTGATAGTGATAGGTGCTGTTAGCGAACAACTAGCATCCGTTCTAGGTCATTGTAGTGTTCGCACTTCTGAGACACTGTTGTTGAACTTCGCTAAAATTACATTGTCTCCATTAAAATTATTATTTTAGATTTGGCATAAAATGAGTACTATTCACCAGTAATAACACCACCTTTGTGTGCTCCTTTTTCTTCCTATTCTTCCCCTTCTTCCTCCCCTTCTTCTTCACTTTGATGAAATGTAGTAACACTTGCGTTAGTTTTCATTGCAGCTGCAGGGGAGTTTTCATCAACTACCTACCTTTTTTCTGTAGTATCAAAAGTAAGTCATTAAAATTTGCCCACTTATTATGGGGAATAGCGTTCACAGAGAGACGTGTATGTTCTAGTAAATGTATCTTTCGGCTTATATATGTATTTTTCCTTTCAAAGTTTTAATTCTCAGATTTTGGTTTTGTTTAAGACACTGTGTGGTCCTGCAGCATGTCGCATGCGTCAGTGAGACAGTTTGTATTTGTCATAATGTCCTGTTCGACTAGCGTTATCCGAAGATATTATAATCTTTATATACTGTAGTGTATGCCTTCACAAACTGGTAGTAGTTCGATCACATAGTCCCCCAGGGGGTGGTGCGTACTGATGATGAGTCCGAGACTGGGACGAAACAGCTGTCTAGTAATCCCAGGTGGTTTTCGATGATTCTCGACCTAATATTTGAAAATTTTTTTTAAAGTCTTCAGTTTATTTTAATATGACAGTCCACCGAATGCCTATTCATTTATAAGGAAGGAGATTCTTTAGCAATAAGTGTAGGCTAAATTTCCAATTGTTTTGTTCCGGATTGACTTCAATCATGACTTGAACTCGTCATAAATTTGCACTGATATGATAATGAGAATGTCTAGCATAACACTGGGACGACTGACAGTTTATTCAAGTATTGGTTTGTAGGGATTTGGTTGATTGGTTTCAGGATTTCATCATGAACTGACATCGATTAGCAACGAGTCAGTGGAAAACCTCGGGGTACTGAACAGCCGTTTCGTCCTGGTTTGGGACTCTTTATCAGTACTCACCCACCGGGGGTCGAACCCAAGGACCTTCACGTTACCAGGTGAGCTCGTGGACCATTAAGCCCAAGTAGACCCGATCCAATTGCCAGTCCATGCAGGATATGGTGCGACCAACTAGCCGATGTCATCGGCGAGTAATTTGTTCTAACACCCGACTCGTAGTTACCTGCGTTCTAGTGAGAAGTCGTGGCCAGTAAGGTATGGCAGGTCGGAGGTGAGAAGAAATACTCAACAAGGATGGATGACATTGGCTAATGCCAGTCGCGCTAAATCGTGAGTTGGGAGAAGTTGGAATTCATAGGTGGTCGGCCATTGGATCGGGTTATAGTGGCTTATTGCAACTAGAAGGTCGTGGGTTCGTACTGCTGAAGCAGAGTCCCCAACTAAGCTGACGAAACAGCTGTCCAGTACTTCCAATGCTTCTGTAACCGACGACAGCTCTCGATGGGATCCTGTAACCCATCAAATCAAACCAAATCTCTACAAACCAACATTTGCTTTTTATTTAGTTGCTTTTCATTTTGAAAATAACCGGGTCCTTAAATTTAATCCGCATGACTACATTTCTTTCGGTGATAATTGATGTTTTCGGATAGTGTTAACGTCAATCTTGTTAGAACAGTACAGTCTTAGTTTCGCAGTTTTCATTACATTTTAATAAAAGATACGGAGGTGAACACCTAGTATTTGTCCTTGAACTTAATTGTCGGATCATTCCTGAATAAATTATTCAGCCTTTTCTTCGTCTCAATATTATCTATTATGTTATTTGAACAAAGAAAGAAGAAACATTGACGCACAATAATCTGGATCCAATTTATTTCATTGGCGTCTCATCAACTGCGCACAACCTTTGTCTATTTGCAAGCATTCTGTCAGAGCGTCTTGATAAAATAAGGCGTTGAGATTTACATACATATGTATATATGTATATCTTGGTAAAGAGAAGTTTCTTGAAACAAATTAATTAACAGTTGTGTTGTTGGGTGTGGTAACAAAAGAAAATTAGCAATAGTTACGTAATTAGATAAGAGAAGATCAAAATTTCTGTGCACATGAGGTCAGATGAGAGAGAAGTTGATGATGTAACACAGTGAGCAGAACTCAGAAGATCAAGAAAAAAAATACCTCTTAAGAGAGTCAAGGGAAAAATAAAGCAAGGGGGTGGAGTGAAAAGGTAAGCTAACAAAATTATCAAAATTGGAAAACAAAGAGTTACTAAGAGGTGTTGAGTCGCCAGGGTAATTGAAGTCCAACAACGGATTCTTTTTGGACACATAAGTCAGGCTTCAATCGTTTTATTGCTATAGCTTCAACACACCTGAGGAGACTTGAGGTACTTTGTCTGTTAATTATTTTGAATGATTCCAGCACATCTACTCGGTGTCCTGTGTCGACCAGGTGTTTGGCGATTGAAGAGCTTAAACATTTCGATCCCTTTAACCGGAGGCTCCTTGATACATGTTCACAGAATCTGACGAAACTTATTTCTACCAAGATATATATGTATGTCGTAACACTTTAGAAACCCTGTAAATCTCAACGCTTTATTTTACCATAACGCTCTGACAGTATGCTTGCTAATGGACAAAGGCTGATGAGACGCCAACGAAATAAAATGGATCCAGATTATTGTGCGCCAATGTTTCCTCTTTCTTTGTTCAAATTTATAAAAGGGAATCATTGTATGAGATATGCCATTCTTTACCAATTATTCAGAGTTTAAATGTTCTCAGTTTAATCCGGAAATGTTTTCTCTCAACCCCTTTTTACTTCTTTTCAGATACGTGGTAACCGGTTCATATAACAATTATTTTCGTGTATTTGAACGAGGGACTTCAAAAGATCTACTTATGGAAGCATCTCGTGAAGCAATGGAAAATAGTGTATGCGGTAAACTGAAACCATGTCAAGTGGTTTGTGATGGATCAGGCGGAGCTACATCAACCTCAGCTTGGTCTGATGGAAAAATCAATGTGGAATGTATGGATTTAACGCGTAAACTACTGCATTTATCCTGGCATCCACGTGAAAATACTTTAGCCTTAGCTGGTACTAGTAGTCTCTACCTTTTAGACTACTATCCTGGTGAGAATAAGTTAGAAACATCTCAAATGAGTAGTACTACTACAACTAATAATAATTACCTGTTAAACGGGAATAGTATATCTCCTATGCAGTCGGATGACGCAATTGTAAATTAATGATTAAAGTAGAGTATCGTACTCTGTTTCCTTTCCAACGCCCCCTCCATCGACTCCCTGCCCTCCCTTGCCCTCATTGTTCCTTTCCATGTACTTCCTATGTGTATATTCATCTCTGTGTTTGTGGGTGTATCTGATTATTGTTCATTCATGCACACACACACACACAATGATTTATACAACATAGAATGTGTATATCCCGTATACTTTTTGAGTTACCTTTTTCGTAAATAGTAAATTGCATTTTTGTTCTCTCTCTCTATTTGTTTTTTGTTCACTAAAACAAACTGTGTTGTTTAATATTTCTGTTATAATATCCTATGTCCCCATTTTGTGTCTCTCCTAGGGTTGAAATGAGATTGATACCAGCTTCATAAGAATTATCTAGAAAAAGGCAGAACTTAATATACATATATCTTTGGCAGCAGTCAGTCACTTAATACATTTCAGACATTCACAAACATTATCCCCCTCCCTTGTAGAATTTCTTTTAGCTGGGTTTTTACTGTCTATCTCTGAACTACGGTCCCCACGCCGCCTCGCACTCCAACCTACCCTTCCTTTGTTTTTGCTGACGTGTTTCTTTTATATATATAGTCGAAAAATGCCTGACTGCATTTCATCATCATCACCATCATCTCTAATTGGTATTTGTCTCAATCCTGTTCCTTTTTATATTCTTCGTATCTCTGATCATTCTGTTTTTGACTAGCGTGTGTGTGTGTGTATGTGGGCGAGGGGCGGTGTGTTAATCGTTTTTATTAGTATGGGGGGCTACACAGTAAGAAAACTCTTGTGGTCGGGTTGTTTTCTGTGAGTGAGCATATTTTATCCCCTTTTTTAAAGAAATAGAAGAGAAATAATATCTGAGACGTTGTCATTATTGTTATTATTATTGGCATTATCCCTAGGTCGGTCACTACACCCATCCTTTATCCTCCATTCGCTCTTCATACTCAGGTTGTATTACTTCTTCTCCCCATTCTCTTCCTCCTTTATTCTTTATATATAGTGCGCCTTAAATATAATATACATGTAGTGTGTTTGTGTTTCACTGTATGTATATTCTTGAAGGGTCATTTTTATTTCTTCGATTGTAAATCTGTTAAACTGTTTTCCTTTTTTTTTCCATAGTGTGTGCAACTTGATTTGTAGAAGTTGCCGTTTTATTATAATATTAGACGTATATGTATTGTATATTCTGAAAACATATCTTCTCTGTTTGTAAAAGAAGCACTCACTCTTTTTACACAACACATGCATCGATCTTTTTTTCTCTATCTGTCACCTTTTTATGTTTATTTGTTTGTATGTGTTTGTGCGTGTGCGTGTGTGTGTAGCTATTTCTCACATATTTTCTATCTGATTGCATAAGATTGCATTCTTCAATCATTATTATTATTCTTATTCTTGTACTTATCTCATTTGAGTTCGACTACTTTTACACCACCTACCTGTGTGTGTGTGTGTGTGCGTGTCTGTGCGGTCGTCTCTGTACCTACCTGTGTATAAGTGTCTCTCTCTCTCTATTCAGTGGCTTCTTTTTTCTTTTGTGTGTGTACTTAAAGAAAAAAAGTTATTTTTATCTCCTTCCAAGATGTATACTATTTTTTACAATATACTACTACTAACTAACCAGTTGGTATTGATTAATCATCTGTCTGTTAATAAATATACACTTAAACTATGAATGTGTGTGTGTTTTTATCGTTATTTGTGTGTGTGTGGGGGGGAGGGGGGTAATCATGACTACTGGTCCAGGTAGTGGCGTGTGCTACTGATAAGATTTATTAGTAGTGTATAAATAGAGGTGGTCATCGGAGGACGTCGGTGGCACAGTGGTAGTGAGGCTCGCCGATCACGCCTCATGCGGTCCGGGTTTCGATCCCCGGCCACTGACGCACTCCTTTACTTCGCTAAGTCGAGTATTAAGACTGGAAAAGGAGGAAAGGTTGGGCATGAGGCTAGCTCCCAGGGAATTTATTTATTTATTTATGATTACAACTTGATTCCACACTGTATTTTTGGTACGACTATGGAATTTTCAGCATGGATATCGGTAGCCCAAATTTCGCAGGCCGACCATAGATATCAAGGTGTGCGTCGGCGTGGGCTCGAACCTTGGACCATGTGCATGGTTGGCGGGAATCCTAACCACTGTGCCACCGACGCACATAATAATAATAATCTCGTTGACTTAGAATATGCAGATGATATAGTCCTTTTAGGTGAGAACGCTGACAAAATGCGGAGTCTCCTGAACACCTTGGGCTGAAATCTACAAATGTTTGGCATGCGATTCGCTCTTGCTGTCAAGTGTAAGATGATGCTATAAGACTGGACTACATTGACTCCTAGATTAGAAATAGGGAGTGAAGTGGTTGGTGGAGCGTGTTGACCACTTCACTTATTTGGGAAGTTGTATAAGCCAGTACCAGCGGGTTGATCTCTGACGAAATCTCAGCATGGATACAGAAGGCTAGTTTTGCATATGTCAGTTTACGCCACCTCTGGCTTAGAAGACGTAATATCTGGCTGGCTATCGACCAAAGGGCGAGTGTACTGCTCAGCAGTCCTCTCCCTCCTCATGGCTGTGAGACCTGGCTATTGAGAGTGGAAGACATGAAAAGGCCAGCTAGCTGTCTTTGATCATAGGTGGCTGCGTTCTATCTCCCGTGTTAAGTGGTTTAATAAGGTGAGCAATATTGGGTTGAGGCGTCGAGTGCTGGGCAAGTGGGAGGGGAAATCAATCGACGAGGCTGTGAAATTACATCGAACGAGATGGTTAGGACATGTGTTTCGTATGCCTAGTCATCGCCTTCCTCGACGATCAATCTTAGCTGATATAGGGTCAGGCTGCAAAAGAGCTACCGGCGGTCAAACCAAAACATGGCAGCAGTCAGTGAAATCTACAACAATTAGTTTAAGACAGCTACGTAGGAAGGTGTAGACTTTCTGGGTGAGGTCCTCCGGACGGTAAAAGCCAATTAGGGCTGGAGACATCTCGTGATATGGCTCATAATCGTTCTCAATGGCTGGCTCAGATGCATCCACTCCTTGTAACTTATGATTTCCAATGAAACTATATTGTTTCTCGTTATTACTATTCCTTTGTCTCGCACCTCTGTTTACTGTCTGTATTATGCATTTCTTCTACTTTCCTTTCTTGCTTTGTGCGCTACAAGAAAAGAGTGTGGCGACTTGAACTTCTGGATATCAGTGCAGAGTTCTATGTCGTAAACAGACAGAGAGATAAGGCTAGGAACCCCATCCTATAAAAATAAATACTGCTACAGAAACTTCGAGTCTCTAGCTTGAAGGTGCCCGTATATTCCACTGGGAACGTGAAGGAATGAAAAAAAAAAGATGGTCATCGGCATAAAAAATCAAATGGCAAGGAAATAGGTTTGCTGTCAGAGAAAGCATGTGGTGCGGCATTGTGGAGAAACATGGGAGACGTAAAAGGAACACATGGGGCTTCAATAGGACATCTCCATTTGATACTGTTCTCTGTAGTCCTCTTTTGCTGACCCTACGGTTATCCCATAGGCTTTCATCTCCTCCTGCATGTCATCTTTGGACGCACAATTCTCTGTTCCGTATTCAGACTTTACTGGAGGATTCACCTGGCGTCCGATGTCACTCAACGGTCTCCTCAGCGTTTGTCGGATCCATCTCCATTTTCTTCTGTATATTTGTTGCACTACAGGTTCTATATTGGTTCGTTTCCAGTGTTCCGTTTTGATAATCCTTTCTGGCCATCTGATCTTCATAGCATGCAGCCAGCGAAGGCAACTGCTAATAAAAGTCTACGGTCTCTATGGAAATATATTCCTCACAAATTAAATCCGGCTCACTGTGTCTGATGCATAAGTCCACATACGACAGCGTGCATTGAATTACTCTAAGTGTGGTGAGAGCTGACTGCTAGCCAAATCGGTAGACAGTAATTTACGTCCCCAATAGTGGTCGTGATGAAAATAAGAACAAAGACTGATTCAACAACCAACCACAGCAGAATTTGCGTAGGCGGATACAATTTGGAGATAGATAATCTGAACTTCAATAAACGGCCATAAAGAGATGAGAGATTAATGTTCACCGAGAAACCACCAATCAGAAGACTGTGTTTGCTTGCTTACAATAATCTATAATAATATGTACATCAAATTCTATAAAAAATATCTGTTGATTTCCTAAATAAACGATTTGTTGCCTGGCCCTAGTCTTCTGTTGTTACACAAGTATCATTGGTATTTAGTGTAATCTTGCATCATTCTGTAGTAACCAAATGAAACCAGAATGTCAGACGAATAATCATATTTCATGGTGTGAAAATGTGCATCGGTTGCGGCTAAGCGGTAGAATTATTAACCAACCACATATGTGATACATCCCCGGCGGATGCACTGCTTTCACCTCGCTAAGCCAGTAATAGGGCCGGTGAAGAGGGAAGGCTGGGCATGGGGCTAGCAACGCCATCCTGTAAAAATAAACACCACTTCTAGCGAAACTTCAAAGGTCTAGTTTGAAGGCACCCTATGTTCCATTGGTAACGCAAAAGGAATCAAATAAAACTAATGGTGTGAAAATATATCATTCCAGTGACAATCATAATCACCACACTGTGTAGTTTTGAAGCTTTTTCCTGGAATAGATTAAACGGGTCTTAGGAATTCCAGAAATATTCCTCATTTCAAGGGTGATTTCGTCACCGAGTGGCATTACTTGATAATAATAATAATAATAATATACTTTATTCCAAAAACAGTACTTATAATACAGAATGGAATTCTCAGCATTTGTCACAATATTGCATCTGATTTACTTAAAGTATAAATAGAATTAACCACAGGAATTTGTCCACATTTACGGCATAAAGTCAGAAATATATGAAGTTCAAAATGAGAATAATAATACTAACAGTGGGTTTGTTTCTAACAGTATTGTTGATTCAGTTTGGAAATTTTAGCATGTTATAAATTACTAAATCAAATGTTCTGTTGTTATAGTATGGTGAGGAGAAAGACAAAATTAACAGTTATAACACAGCTTAAATTATGTTCACACTTATGAAAAATAAATAAATAAAGACAAAAAAAACTGAGAGGATTATGAATGTAAGAAATACAATAACAATAAAGTTTGGTACTGTAAGGGTGGAAGAAATGGTTTATTTAGTAGTGCAAAGAAGGTTAGTTGGTTCATGCCTGACACCATTTTTATCACATAAAGTAAGTGCTAAATGTGATATAGTGGAATTTTTATACTTAGACGTATGTGCATAAAGTCTTGTGAAAAGACTTCTTGTTTTACCTGAAGGGGAGACACAAGGTTGGAGGTGCGCATAAAGTGGATGCTCATAGTCTGACAAAATTCCTTTGGGAAATTTGTTGCATGCAATCAAGTGCCTATCAATGACGATTTCGACGATATGACCCATTGGGATATCAGTCTTCAGAGTTCTACGAAGTATGACAAAATCCTTTTTAAGCAATCCAGGAAAGAATAAGGGTGAACAGTAGAGAAGAATAGATAAAATACACGAGTTGACAAACTGTAAGAGGAGGAGGGGTTGAGTTATGCCTGAATGCCTTAACTTCTTAATGTACAAAGTCAGACGAAATATTCTTTTAGAAATCGCTAAGACATGGGAAGACCAGGATAGGTCAGAAGAAAGAATTAATCCAAGATAATTAACTTCAGACTTGATTTCTATATCAGTGTCATCAATTTTGCAAGGGTCATAGGAACCAACAGCTTCATTTAACTTCCATTTACATAAAACTTAACTGCTAAGGCACATTAGGCAGTTTTTTTCGTCAGAGTTGTGGAGACTTTAGTAGTACGTTCTTGTTACCACCCTAATCCACGGCTTTCTCATCAGATACACTAAGAGAAAACCCTAATTAGTCGCAGCAAAACTTCCATTCACAAATTTAAACCAATTTCAACAACATCTAGCGAAATATTAATTGCACTGCGCTAATTGCATACATCTCGAGATTGAAAATTTGTTCAGAAATCACGTTTTATTGAAGCGTAATCAAAACATTAGGTTAGTGTTATGATTGTTTTTATCAATACTTTTATTTTTGTAGTTGTTGGTGTTGTCATTATGATAGGTGCATGTTTACATCAATTATTGAATTTTTTTCATTCTACGGATCACTACTTCGTTGTTAGACACTTTAGTTTATTTGTATAACTATTATTATTATTATTATTGTATCCTTTAGTTCCTAGAGGAACATAGGGCTTCAGCTGAGCACCTCCATTGCCTTCGGTTTTCTGACAACTTTTTCACCCTGCTCCAGGTCTGTCCACATGCTTTCATCTCCTTCTCGCATGACCTCCTCCAAGTCACCCTTGGACGACCAACTCGCCGCCTCCCTTTCGGGTTTTACTCGAGGGCTTGTCTAGTGATGTCACTTGATGGTTTCCTCAGCGTATGGCCAATCCATCTCCATTTCTTTCTGCCTATAGTGAACAGAATATTGAATTTTTAAAAAATCGGTTGCAGCGAAGAAAATTTTCCTTTCGATGAAGTCATCCACTAGGCGGTTACATTCGTGTATTTATAATGATAAATGGATGGGAAAGTTCCAGAATCATTTCCGGTCAAGGGTCAAATTAATAAAAACTACAATTAGGAATTAAAATGCCATAATAAACTGACGGGGGAGAGATAAAACTCAGACAAAGCAGCATCATAATTACTGAGAAGATTGACATTGATTGTGCAATTAGGGGTTAGAAATGTAGAAATAACCAAAATAGACAGGATTTTTGGAAATGAAAATTTGGTAGTGTAAATAGGGACTAAGAAAAACTTAAAAATAATTTGAATAAACAGGAAGTTTGAATAACAAAGACAATGGGATGGTCATTGCTAAAAGAATTACCTGTTTATGATGGCCATGGCAGTGACAAGGAAGGTTGGATATATTTCTTTTGGATACATAGCGTGCGTGAGTTTGAGCTTTTGGATAGCTAGTGACTTGGCTATTCCCAGATGTCTTAATTTCACTCCTTTTGATAAGTTTGATCGAATCTTGTATATTATTTTCAAGGATTTTTCGAATAGCACTTAATGTCCTGAACTGACCAGATGTTCTGTCACTGAACTATATACACATTTTCGTTCTCCTTTTACTAGCCAGGCTGGATAGTGTTCATGGGCGCGTTTTTTAAGTTGGTGCATGGTATGGCCGATGTAGTCAGCTCCGCAAGAGCAAGTAAATTGGTGTGTGCACGTTGAAGTGGCCCAAATTGAATTTGATTAAAAGATCACCTGCATTTGACTGGTGAAGCCTTGTTGTTTTTACTCCGGATGAGTAAAATTCTCGTTAAATGACTTATATCAGTTAGTTGTGTATGTGATTATACTACTTTAATGTTTTTCGTTTATAAATTCACTTGGTGTGTTTACTGATTATGATGTCTCGGTTGACAGTAGGACTAACACCAAAAGCTAATATGAAAGACTGGTGTAAATATTTATAGTCATATCTAAAAATATTCATACTGTAATAAAATGCTTACTTTCACTTTTACTTGTCCACTCCAAGTAAAATACTAAGTTGCATCATCCTGGAGAGTATAAAGGATGCACTAGATACGGAACTCCACCACCCACCGGAACAAGCTGGATTCAGGAAAGGCAAATCATGTGCTGATCAAATTGCGACTCTATGCATCGTCATCACAGAACAAATCATAGAATGGCAGTCAAAACCCACTTCACCTCATCTTCATCGACTTCGAAAAAGCCTTTGACAGTGTAGCGTCGACCAAGAAGTAATCTTGAAACTACTTCAACACTACTACGTGCAGTGTTCAAGTCTTTGTCAACCTCATCCAACATCTATATGACAACATCACGTGTCGGGTGATCCACAACGGAAAACTCAGCGAGGCTTTTGAAGTGCATACAGGAGTTAGACAAGCTGGCTGCCAATTATCACCGATGATGTTCTTAACTGTCATGGATTGGATTATATGTCAGTCTGTTGGGGGTGAGGAGTCAAGAATGCGCTAGACGACCGATAAGAAGACCCTAGAAGATCTGGATTTCCCGAGTGGATGATATATATCTAATGTTACACAAACTCGATGACTTGCAAGCGAAAACACCAACAAACTGGGTGAAGAGGCAGGCAGCGAAAACAGGACCGCAGGTGAACACAGAAAACACGGAGGTGATGGAGACAACTAGAGCCAATTACTGTCGACGGGAGGAAGTGATTGACTGAGTTTGCGTCCTTCACTTATCTGGAAAGCATCGTTTCAACTACAGGGGGGAACGGACGAAGATGTCAGTCAGGTAGTCCGAATCAGAAAGGCAAGATATGTCTTCATCAATCTGAAACCAGTTTGGAAATCTTCTGCACTCAGCCAGCCAGCATAAAGAACAAGATCCTGATTTTCATCACCAATGTAAAAGCGTGTCACAAAAAGAATTTCCAACAGGTTGCAGACTTTAATCAACAACTGCCACATTCGCTGCTTCCATACTTAAGATCAAATGTCCAGAAAGGATTATCGAAAAGCAACACTGCGAAAGAAACAATATAGAACCTGTAGCCCAACAAATATGTAGGAGATGGATCGGGCATACATTAAAGAGGTTACCGAATGATATTGCACGCCAGGCCATTGCTCGAGTGGAATCCCAATGGGGAGCGACGAGTGGGTTGTCAAAGTGAGGATGACATGGTGGAGATTGTGTGAGGAAGAGATAAGAGATCATGAGCAATCGTGCACAGTGGTGAAGAGGACGGCAGAAAACAGAACGAAGTGGAGATGTTTTGTTGAAGCCGTATGCTTCACTCAGAACACAAGGGAATAATAATTGTAATAATATTTCACCCCTTTACTTTCCAAATGGAGCATAGACCTTCAAGCTGTGAGATGTGAAGTGTCAGTAGCGACTGTATTGAACTTTCACTGGGTGGGATTGCTAACCTGACGTCCAACTTTCCTTTCTTCTACCGGGTTTACTACTGGTTAAGCGAGGCTTAGAAGTATGTCGGTCGGGAATCAGAACCCGGATCACTTGCGTGGTTGGTAAGCATGTCATACCAATAAACCGGTGAAGCAGCAGCTGAGTGGTATGCGAGCTGTACCATATCATATGTAATCATATGATATGATTATGAGCGATGAATTGTGCTCGAAACGTCATCAATAAATATTATTGTATAACACTCTGAGACTTTATCAAAATAAATTTTGCTCATAATTGAATTATACTGTACCACAGTGCACAAGTTCTATTCTTATATCAATCAGTCAAAGAACCATTGAAAACCAGCTAGGAGTACTGGACAAATGTTTCATCCTGGTTTGGGATTTTTCGACAGCCTGCAATGACTACGTTTCGAACCTAGAAGTCAACCTGCAGACCATTCATCCACTATGACTCGACCCACTGGTCCCTAAATTCTAACTCCTGCCACCAATTCCTGATTTTAGCGTAACTGGCACCAGCTGATGTCTGCCACGGCGAGTATTTATTGTCATTCCCGACCGGATGAGTCTCACCGGAATTATAGGCAACTTCGTCCTGTATCCAGTAACTAGCGTGCACTAGAATAACTTTCACGAGATTTTTCTGTACTTTGACCACCTATCGCGGTCTCCTACTTTACTTATCATGCAAATTTACGAATTTAATCGGTTATAAATTCAAATTAAGAACAATGAATACTATGGTGAGTATTAATTAAAACAATTAGTCCCTTTGATAAATTTGAACAAGGCATTAAGAAGACAAATTTCGCGAGATGATGGCATCATTTCGTAGTTTCTTTACAACCGTTTTACAACTAACATGGTTAATAGTAATGAATAAAGTTCATGACAATTACTCAGTTATATAAAACAAAAGCACATACTAATGACCAATCATATTTAAATAGGTCAAGTAGTCAGTTCATGGTAGGCGAAGGTTGAAATCTACTGCCTTTTGTACACATAGTTTAGGATTTACGTGTGATAAATCCAAAGCGATTTCATCATCATCTTTAATCACCAACCTTGAATTAGAGGTATGTGATAGAATAATTGTGAAACAGTCATTAATATTGATTTTGTGACCTGACATTAATAAGTGTTTTGCAATGGATGATGATGCTGGATTTCTATTAAGATTAATCACATTGGGATTTTCTATATGATTTAATAGCCATTTTGGAACATGTTCTTTTCGACGACATTGGAACATTTTGTTGGTTCTACCTATATAGGTGTCACCGCAGCTGCAGGTGAACTTGTAGATACAGTTAGAAGTAGACTTCATAGAATTTGGTCCTTTGATCGTAGGTGCAGGGATCGAAAATGTTCGGCAAGTAAGAAAAAGAGATGAGGCGGCGCAGAATATGCGTTTGACGGCTGACCGAAGTCTTTGAGCTGTCTTTGAACTGAATAATCTGGTCACCCTTGAATGGTAGGTTAATAAAGATAGCTTTCTTTGGTACAGAAGCTGTGTAGTCAAGAGGTGGTCTTTCTTTACTGTGACAAGTGATAAAGTTTTCCGGATAACCATTAGCTAATAAAACTGAATGTATATGTTGAAATTCATCCATTAGTGTGTCACTCGTGCATATTTTTCGGGCCCTATATATATATATATATATATATATATATATATATATATATATCAAGGAATTTCAGTGATGCACTTAATGGCATGCATCAAAACATGCATGTTTAATTATCGGCTCAACTAAGTCACGTGCTCATTCTTGACTAGCTCCTTTGTCACAATATTCTCATGTCATTTAACAATTTGACAATACAGTAAGTAGACAAGTCAAATAATCAATAAGTACTCCAAAAAGAGAGTGACGTCAGTGATAGTCAGCTGTAAAATCAATGACAAAGTCATGCAAAAAAGTATATATATATATACATTAGTGTTATCTTGTTTGTATGACAAATTTCTGTAGAACTGGCTTCATTTCAGTAGAATAAAACGTTAAAGTATGACTGACATTTAGTCGTATTGTATTGCAAAATTTTGTGTCGATATAAATTGTATGATACTGGGAAAGATAAGAAATTGGTACCAACGGTCAGTTTGATGCTCCAACAGATGAGTTTGGAGACTGAATTTTAAAACGTAGTGTCATGTCTCCTGACCAGATGGGCCTTTTCTTGCAAACTGTATTCATACGGAGTCAAGAGAGGAGCAGACTGTTAATTGATTGTGAGGCCATCCCAAATAATCTCTTAATTCCTTCCTATTGGATTTATAAATACTGAGAAATCACGATAAGAATTCACCTGTTCAACAGTAGTGAGTAACTACAGCTTTAATTTGGGAAATTCATAATTTTCATGCCTACAATATCGTGAAATGTTTTGATAAAAATGGCACCGAAAACTTACAAACCAATTGGACTATTTTAAAAAAGACCTATTGGCACAACAAGTTTGCATCAACAAAAGGTCTAGACACACGACACTAGTTGCTAACTAGCGTACAATCAAAGTATCCAATACAACCCTCCAGGAAGTCAATCACGAGCCCGGAAACCTCAGTAGTAATGTCTCTTAGTGCACAGCTCAATGGGTGACGCGGGTTCAAATATCCTCAGAAGGGACATGAGTTCCTCTATGATTGTAGATACGTGGCAACTAGCACGAAACCTAGGTTATGCAAATCCCAAATGCCTCCAACAATATTTTATTTTTTTTAAAAACTCTTTATGACAGCTTGATTCCACACAGTATTTTTGATACAAGTATGAAATTTTCAGCATGTAATATCCGTAGCCCAAATTTAGCAGGCTGACCATTTATATCAGGTGTACACGTCGGCGGGAAATCGAACCTCGGACCATGTGCATGGTCGGCGAGCGTCCAATATATTTCGAAGAGTAACTGGAGATATGTGCTCCGTTCTGGATTGGGAATTGTCGATAATTTTGTACCATAAAGCCTACTAAGAACCAACTCTAGGAATTTTAGCTTGCTAGAGAAGCACCTTTTATCATCCTACCTCTAGTAAATAATGTTACTAATCAATATCTGTCTTCACATACAAGCTGATTGATCCTACCAGTCACCATTTCTCTCTAGAAGTCGATAAAATACATTGTGAAATGAGTCACAATCGTATAATGGACTGATATTCTGAGTTTAGTTAGCTACATGAGAATTTGGTTGGTTTTAAGGCACACACAGAGCATAGATCTACAGAAAAAAGTACCTTGGAATAGGTGGAATACTGCACCTATCCCGACTAATTCAGTAAGGGGAGGCATTTATTTTTTTGGAATGATCTTTCGTAGCGTATCCTAAATCAGATTGGGCCCCTGAAGGTCAACTTTTCCCAGACCTTGACTTCGGCTATGATAGTTTAATTTCGCCTTTTTGTGACTGAATTAAAAAAAAGAATTTTCTCACTGATTACTAAGTGCAATTTGTACGCAGGATATCTGCCTAGAGAAGTACTGAAGTAAACCGAATTCTAATAATCCGTTGAATAAACAGTAGTAGGAGTAATTTCGTATTACTAAACTTCTTGATGGTAAACAGGTAAACACACAACACATTCATTTTCTATCTTCATTCATCAAGCCAACTCAGACATACAGCATTAACTCACTTAAGTCCAGTTTGACATTGTCAATGTAAATGGGAGCATTATTGTTTCCTAAAGGAACATAGGGCTTCAGCCTCACGTCTCCATTGCGTTCGTTTTCCTCACCTGGCTTCACGTCTGCCTACATGCTTTCATCTCCTCTTCACATGACCTTCTCCATGTCACCCCATCCTCTCACTGACGACCAACTCGCCGCTTTCCGTTTGGGTTCCACTCTAGTGATGGCCTGGCGTGCGATATCACTCACTTGATGGTTTGTTTTCTCAGAGATTGGCCTCCAATCGACCTCCTCCATTTCTTCCTGCATATTTGTTGTACAATTGGTTCCTTCTGGGTTGGTTCGTTCATTGCCAGAGATCCCTGATGCTGATGTTTTCTGGCCGGCCATTTGATCTTGAGCGGAGTATTGAGCGAAGACAACTATTGTTGAAGGTGTGTAGTTTGTTCGAAGTTCCCTTCGTGACGCGGCTCCAAGTCTCTGGTCCGTACGCATAGTAAGTAGCACTGACTTCACATGCTGAGTGTTGTTGACCTCCACCCAGACTTGAGAGAAATGAAAGCTTGCCTTGCTTTCTCGATCCTCACTTTGATGTTCTCATCAGTTCCGTCCACCCGAAGTTTAAACGATGCTTTCCAGGTAGGTGCGTAGGAAAAGGAGGTTGATTTAGGATTTCTCCCATTTATGCTGATTTTTGTCTGTTGTTGTAGCTGTCGCTGTTGGCCAGGAATCTTCATCACCTCTATTTTCTCTATGTTCACCTGAAGTCCTGTCTTCTCTGGATGCTTCTTCTGCCAACTTGTTGCTTTTCACCTGCCTATCTTCCAGTTTGTGGGAAATCAGGCATATATCATCGGTAAAGTCAATATCCTCCAAGTTTTTTGTATGGGCCCATTTTATTCGTGATTCCTCGATGCCTGCCGCTGTCTGTCACATTATCAAAATAGGAATAATAATCAATAAAATAAGAATAGTGAATTAGGCCGTCATCATCATCATGTACATCTAACTGTATACTAGAATTAAAAGCTAAGTAAACAATCTTAAATGACTAGATGAACACATCAAACGTGTAACTGACTGTAAGGATATTCACACCAGTCGGCATGCTTTACAAAACAAATGACATGTGACTTGAAGTCAGCCTAACAAAAGTGTGATAAAGCTAGTGCTAGTAGATTATGTTGTATAGAGAAATTAAAGGGAGAATTTATGTTTCTCGAAAAGATGCTGAAAAAAGCTACGGTTGCTCTCAAAGGTTCATTAACAAGCACGGAATATCTGAAGTCTCAAATGTCAAACAAATCACAGTGAAGAAAAAGCCCATCTACATTCAACTTGATTATAAAGGTGAAAATATTGCAGCAATAGTCAACAGAAGATTGAGGACGTCATTTGCCAAAGCCTATCCTGTAGCTAGCTAAGCTGGTTCCCGTCTATCGAACAACTTGCTATGTAGTGCAATCGAAAATCGATTGATATCCTTCTCAATGTTAAATCTAACTGTATAGACAAATTTACATGTATCTGTGGGAGCAGCTATCCTGGAAGAACAGAAAAAAGGAGGGCATTTCTACGATTTTATGAACATGTACCGAAAAGCCTATGTCTAAATGGAACAAATGCTTTAAACAGTGCCATCTCCAGGTATCTCCTCTACACGGCTCTTGAGGTGGACGTTGCAAGATCGTTCAAAATTTTCAATAGGCAAAAGAGTTCAATTTTCTTCAAATTTACTGAAGCAATCTCCATCAAGCGCCTGAAACCTGATTTATGCCCTAGTAACTGGATATTTGCACCTTCTCATCTGATTAGGTATTGTAGAAAGTTTCCATTGTGTATGATCATTATTGTTTGGGATAAAGTGTTTATTATTATTATATATATTATTATTGTATGCATATAGTGATTGATTGATTTTTGTTTAAAATGAACTCTCAGTGAAAGTATGTTAAAACTGTTTCTATAGGTATACTTAATAATGACTTTGGCCTGTAAGCAGCTGAGCTGATCAGAAGCCAATGGAATAAAAAATGATGGTACCATTTTATTCTGCACAAACCACACTGTTGTTCTTGCTTTATTTTAAATTGATTAAGGGGAATACATGTATGAAAAAAACAAGTGATAATAGATAATTGAGAATTATCACTGTCACTTAGGACTCTGCAAGAACTGGTGAGGAATCATGCTCCGGTTGACGCCAAGTAAAATCCTGATATTCATAATTGTGGTGGACTGGATTATGCGTCAGACTGTGAGTGCTAAACGAGAAGACAGGGATATCCTGGACCGACATGAAGAACCCAGAAGACCTGGAAATCGCGCGTGGATGATTTAGGTTTGATGTCACACAAAATCGAAGACTTACAAGCGAAAACCGACAAACTGGTCGAAGAAGCAACCGGCGAAGACAGGACTCCAGGTGAACATAGACAAGACGGAGGCTATGAAAATAACCAACCAACCAACAACAACAGCAGAAACATCCAGCGCCAATCACCATCAACGGGAGGGATTTGAAAGAGGTTACTTCATTCACTCACTGGTCTAGGGAGCATTGTCTCAACTACAGACAGTCGGAACGGACGAGGATGTCGAATCGATCGAGAATAGGGGAGGCGAGAAACACATTCATCAACCTGAAGACAATCTGGAAATCTTCGTCACTCAGCCAGCATCAACAACAAAATTCAGTCGGATTTTCAATACAAAGAACGTCAAGTCAGTCAATTCTTCTATACGGATCAGAAAATTGGCGGACGGGTCACAAAGAATATTTCCAACAGTCTGTTGCAGACCTTCATCAACCAACAACTGTCTTCGCTGGTTCTATACTGAAGATCAGATGGCCGGGCCGGAAAGAATCACCAACAAGAAACTATGTGAACAAACAAAACAAGAAGCAATCACCAACCAACAAATATGCAGGAGAAAGTGGAGATGGATTGGACACTCGCGGCTGAGGAGGCCGCCACTAGGTGACATGCGCGCG